GGGGAGAAGTGGAACTGCCTTCGTCAGGGACTATTATTAACCCTTTAAGGGTTTTGACATTGTTTTCACTTAACGTTTCTTAAAAGCGCATTTTGCGAGGCCCTTTTTACTAAACGCCAAACCTATGTGGCCAAGTACTTACACATCTCATTCACGTTAAATATAGTAAATTAAAAAAATTAAACAAAGTAAATCTGGATGCATCTCTATGTGACAACTTACAAAGAATAAATTTTGGAGATCTGATTTGCATCTTCACAGACTTGCTGCTTGAGGATCTGACGAAGAGTCCAACGTTCCATCTGAGTAATGGAATTCTCTAATTCCTCTGTTTCCTCGTCTCTCGCCTCTTCTTCTAAATCGTCCCACCTTTCTCCATCCTGTACACACGCTCCAGTCTCGCTGCCTCCTTCCACTGCAACGTCATTGTCTTCGCCCTCCTTGCTGGCTTTATCAGTGAGGGTGTAGCTCCCTAGATATCCACCAGCAAGGTTTTACAACCCTACGCTTTCAAACAGTCCTGCTTGCTCTCTCCGATGTTGGGCAGAGCTACTTTTGAATCTTGCACTACCGATCTACTGGGCTACTGTCCTGAAGGCCATTTACTGTGCTCTTAACGTAAATCAGCCTTTTCATGCGTAGATAGGCTATGATACAATGATACTTTATGCATTTTATTAATATAACATCAACTTTAAAGTCTGACAAGTAATTTCTGTCTGGAGCAGGTGCTCCTCCGGACAAAAGAATGGCATGCAAATTGAAAAACTTGACGATCAACTGAGAAATGAGAGGCAAACTCTGCATGAAGCCATGAATGTAAAAAGGTGAGGAGAAAAAGGCAGCAATCAGTGCCTGGAAGTCGTGCCATTTCGCATGTCGGGAAAGAACTCACTTTTGCACCAACTGAAATTTCGACATATTTTGCAAAACACCCTCAAGAGGTAGATTACGCCTTCCAGAAGAGCCTGCAACACACTGAAGGGTGCCGGAACTACCGGTTTCGCCTTGTACTCTACCAGGAGGTAGTACATGGTTGTCTTCCAGAACTGCGTCGACTGAGCTTCAACCACTGTGAACACATTGCTGAAGCAAAGTGAAGGATGGCACATTGTGGACTCTTGGACAAAACCCTACTTGAGAGTACAAACTGCCTCGCCAAACAGACCATTCCTTTTTAACACTACCGTGATGGTGCATGCCTACCTATGCATAAGGCTACACACGCTGATTTGTTGTCCTCCTTCACGATTAGCCAAAACAGGGCATGAATAAGGCCACAAATTTGTACCTGAAGATGGCAATCAGCAGGTTAATCAGCAGAACAGCGACGATGAGCATGTAGATGGCAAGGAAGAGGGGAGACAA